CAGATTCATTAAAAATTATCGCTAACGGGCTTGCAATTTCTCGCCCCAGTTCCTTTAATATTCTCGGATGAAGATCATCCGGTCCGCCCGATTTAGTCCCGTTAAGCTGTTCGAGTTTGGCTTCTACCTCGGATACGGTAATGTCAACCCCCCCTCCTTTATTCCCCTCTGTCACGCCGCCTCTATTCCTAAACCCTTCATTAGCCTCATTAAAGACCGATGCAAAATATTCGTTTAGATATTGTGCCATGCCTAGATTACCCTTAATCTCCACTCCATCTACAGTCTTCAGCGGTCCCACTTCTTCTTTCTTTGTTTTCTTCCTATATATATGGCTATAAAACCTCTTGCTATTGGTTTTAATTCCCCTCGCAAGGTCCAACTCTACACGGCTTTTGGCCTTTCTCACTTCATCTCTACATGCTCTGACCTCTATAAGGTAGGTTTCTTTGTCGATCCCTCCCCTCTTCCACTCTTTGTACGCTTTCTGTTTTTTCTTAATCACCCCTCTGAGACGCTCGCTCATCCAGCTCGGTCTAAATCTCGTGCCTATGAACCGTTTTCCCTTTCTCGGGATACAGGCCTCCGCCAGCTCCTGTAACTTTAACTTGAAATAATCCCAGGCACCTTCCGCCTTTAGATCCATAAATATGTTAGTCCAGTCCACTTCCCTAACTAGTCGCCTTAATTTATTAAAGTTAGCCCTTTTGAAATTGTAAACCTTAGTCTCAGATTGATTTCTGTTAATCCTTCCATTTAGTTTAAATCGAATTAGCTCATGATCACTCGAGCCAAGGTTGTCCCCTACAACCATTTCCTCAACGAGGTCCTCACTACTCTCCAAAACCAAATCTAAAATGGCATCCCCCCTCGTCGGTTCAGCAACTACTTGATGAAGAAATTCATCAGCTAGCACGTCTAGGAAAATCTGAGCCCTATTATTGTTACTAGCATTTGTTCCTCAATCTATATCCGGGAAGTTAAAGTCTCCCATGATTACACAGTTCCTATTAGTATTTACTTCCCTAAAAACATTAAAGAGTTCTCTGTCCATATCCAGGGTAGATCCCGGTGGTCTATAGCAAACCCGAAGCACTATCCCAGGGGAGGCTCTAGTAGTTTTTTTACCCAATGTGAGTATTGCCCAGACAGACTCTGTCTTATCCATTGCATCACTTATTATTTCTTTACAGTTTACCTCATTATTGACATACAGTGCTACTCCCCCACCTTTACCTTTGTTCCGGTCGTTCCTAAACAGCACATACCCTTCCATACCTGTACTCCAGTCATGATTACAGTTCCACCACGTTTCGGTTATTCCTACAATATCTGGTTTCATTTCACGGACCAGGAGCTCCAATTCCTCCATTTTGTTACCTAGGCTTCTCGCATTGGTGTATAAACATCTTAATTTATGCCGTTTAGCCTCTCTCACACTCGTTGGCCAATTTGGTACGGACACCGTATTGCCAGTATGACCTATTAGTCTAGTATCCATCCCCCCCCTCCTCCTTATGTCCAATCTCTTCCCCCCGGCTATATCTGTTCTTATCTCGTCACCCTCCTTGTAATCTGGCGTGGAGATTAACTGGACATCTCCCAACCGTCTCCCCCAAATTCCTAGTTTAAAGCTCTTTTGATGACATGAGCCAGCCTCCCTCCCAGAAGTCTATTTCCTTCCCTACTTAGGTGAAGTCCATCCCGTGAGAACTATGAGAAACCATTGAAAAAACTATGGAAAACATCAACTTTGGAAAACATCAACTTTGTGGAAACCACATTTTTCATTGAAAAAAAAGTTAGAAAGAAATTCCAAATATCTCTAATCAGATCTAATGTCAACAGATCTATTCTAGGGCTGAATTTGTTCTTGAGAGTCTTTGATATACATGTAGCCCTAACACAAAGCTATTGCATTCTGGTTCCCTCTCTCTTTCAAGACCAACATAATCTCTTATTCCAAACTCACATTAATTTAAATCAGGAGCAACTCGATTGTTTCTAGTGTAGTTTTACTGGTACAAAACCAGTGGAAATGAGAAGCAGTCCCAATAATCTTTAGACCATGCACTACACTAGAACATGAAGAGTTCTCCATGAAGAGGCAGACTTTTAATTAATAGGCACTTTCTTCATTTTAGTAACCATATGGCACCAGATTCTGCTCTCAGTTACAACAATAGAATAAGTCAATGAATTTGAATCAATGGAGTTTATGTCAATGGAGTTATTTCACATTTACTCTGGTGTAACTGTGAGCAGAATTTGGCCAGTAACACCATATTCTACCATTGATCTTCAGGGAAAATTAGCATTTACTTCAATGAGAATAAGACCGGTCCTCCATATGATCAAGAGTCAAAAAAACAGTGGATCAACAAAGGGGGTGTCTTTGTCATTCTGTTTGTTCCTCATCACACTTTTCCCTAGGCAAATTTTAGTCCCTAGAAAACAATTTTTATTTCTCTCAGCCCACAGCCTCCTCCACTTTGCTAGCTATCTAATATCATACTATCTGGGTGCCATTAAAAAAGACACAGTGAAAATTATGTTCCATTTTGCATTATTCTTTTAGAAATAGTCTTTTATATTCTTGCTAACCAGGGTTTCTTAGGATTCTGAGGAAGCAATTAAACAATGTTAAATATACATACATATAGGTTTTGGAATGAGAAAATAGAGGACAAGAAGGAATACAATGAGCAGAAAAAGGTGAGGATGGCAAGGCCATTGTTGAGAACTGTGCAAGAAAACAGATCAGAATACTGAACATAAGTAGCTCTTCATTATAGTGCAAGCATATATCATGGTACCGTTATATAATCTGGTATGCATACATCTTCATAGTGGAAGATAATTAAAGCAATACTACTGACCCTATAAAAACTGACCATCATTTAAACAATCCCAGTAATATTACAGGACTATGGGCTGGATTCAGTAAAATAGGACGTCCGACTTCTATGCAGTGGAAAACAGTAGAGCTCTACAAAATATTGACTTTCATGGCTTTTTCAAATATGCCCAGGCTTCAGCAGTGTGTGCAAGTTGAATCTACCATTATGGAAACAGATGATCAAATTTATTACAGAACAGTACTTTTTATAGATTTTTTAAAAAAATCTATACAATTCCATAGGAAGGATATAAACTCTCTATTTGTATAACTTACAAGTCAATGGCAAATGATAACATTTGCTATTAACTCCAGGGGTTTTTACAGTAACTTTTATAGAACTCCGTTAATTCCTACATAACCCTATGGATTTCATCCCTAGTATATTCTAAACTGTCTGTAAATATTAAATCTGGCCATGTTTGATTAGTTTTTCTAACCCTTAAATCCTGACACATGATATATTTTAAAGGATTTTTGTATTGCAACATATTAAGACTAATTTGAAAAACCTGTGAAAAAAAATCTCAAGGCTGATTGTAGTACATAGGAACACGGTATAAGAAAGTAACAGAAAAAAATGAAAAAAATTGTTTAATTTATTTTACAGTTATACAAATAATAAAACAGTAATACCCAAATGCTGTACACAAAATAATATTAGAGGACAAGCGTGACAGAATACATCTTAATACTGTAAACTACACAAATGGTATTGTGACTGCTCAGTAGCAATAGTACTGTGCAGAAATGCTCTACTCCATAAACTCTCTTCCTTTATTATATACATTTAGAACAATTGTGCTTTTCCCTACACAAAGTAACATATCTTCAAAACAATAAAACTTAATGTGCAATATAAAGCTTAAATCCTGCAAGAGGCTAGGCGCCTATTTGTTCTGAGCACTTCAACTCTCAGTGAACTCAATGAGAGCAATGAGCACTCAGCACTTCACAGGATCAGACCCTAAAAAGAAAAAAAATGTACTGAACCCACAGGTATTTATCTGCAAAATGCAGTCAATTCAAACAAGTCGTCATCCTAATGAGCGTGTTGATTTTATTTTTAATGAGAAGTTTATTTCAGGGTAGGATTTATTAATTGTGGTTCAGTTTGCAAAACACATCAAATTGCCCAAACCCCTTCAAGGCTGGAAACATTCAGTAGATGTTAGACTTGGGGGGTGGGAGAGGGAGAACTGGCCCAAAGCTGCAAACTTAACAAGCAAATATATTATCCATTATTCTCCATTAAACCACAGGAGAGAGGGTCCCTGCCAAAGAAATGTGAAAATATTAGTTTATAAATCATTTACAACAAATGTGTCTGAATGAAAACGAATTCCTCTGCTAACTTTGTCTCACTGTAGATCTGCCTCAAGATTCTGGCAACATAACAAACAGTTTCCAGAATTTTGCTTTCAATTATTATTCTTTTTTAAACATATTTGCTAGAATCATTAGTGGTGATTGCTACATCTTGTGTAGGAAGAAGTCAGTCATTTGAGACCATTCCTCATTCATAATTGGCTTAATCTGATGCCCAGTTTCATATCCCCGCCAAATCAGGTATCATTATAGCACGCGGGCGACTTGTCCATTATTTTCTCTAGTTAACATAAGTCAGCGATAAGTGTTGGGCAATAATTACAATGGATGTTTATACTAGCAGTTCTGTAAGCAGTGTGGGGAGATGAAAACAACAGAACTCATCCAAAGCTGCTATGCAGATTTGAGCTAGATTGTTGTACTGTGAGTTGAAGAACCACACAGTGAAATCCATTCCCCTGCATAGGCCCTATGACCTATTTAAACCTCCACATAAGTTCTATGAGGCCAATCCTTCACCAACCTCTACAGGAAAAAGAGGGTCACATAGTGGAAGCAGTGTGATTTCACTGTTAAGGGAGGGGAGGATTTGGGGAATTTGAATGGAGGTCCAGGGGCAGCCCTGTACATTATGGACATCAGCTTTGTAATCCTCGCGCAGCAGTGTTTAGGAGCAGGGCATGGCAGGCCAGGGATGGGCTGGCATCCATGGATCTGCTGATGTGGAGAAGATTTACCGGATATTGACCTTCACAAAGGGAGATACAGGATCATGGGGAAGGCGGCTGCAGTAATGGCCACAGGACTGGGAATCCCCCTCTTCAGTCTACCAAAGAATCTCCCTACATTACATTGAGCTACTGGGTTTGTTTGTGGTTTTTGCACTGGGGTCAGTTTCATCAACAGAACTAGATGTGAACACTGCAAAATAGGCTCATGCATATCTTTTAAATACTCATTCATATTCTGCCTACTTCCCCCAATCTTCATCTGCTGAATTTAAAATCTGAACAGAAAAAAACTCATCTACTATTCTGTTTCAAGGTCTCACTGGTTTCCCTAAGTCTACTAAAAAAGCGATTTATTTTTCTTTTTTTGTGCAATGGGAAATAAAGCATGTCCATCTACTTTGAACTTTCTCTATCTTCATTGAACTCATATTGGAGTATTAAAAAGTTCCCTGAGATGGGGCAGAAAAAAACAGTTTTAATCCACGAGGAAGCCCTTTTTTGACTGTAGACTCTGCCATCTCAACAGGGAGACCAAATTCACAGACCACAAAGTATGTAGTAATAAAGGTATGTGAATAAGCTAAAAAGGCACTACTCTGAGCTTCTCTGAGATGGATATCAGTAAATCTCCCAGTGGACACTCAATCATTCTGTAAAAAATAATGGGTGGAACAAGACAACCTCCATGCATATTTACTGTTAACAAGGATATCACCCATATTTGTTTTAAAATGCAAATCTTTAATGTTTACCCTACACAGTTTTGCAGTTTTGCAAACCCAAGTTAAATACGTTCCATTCAGTGCTGCCAAGTAGCTCTAAGTGATTCCCCTATGATTTCTGGAATAAAAAAACAAAACAAAAAAGGTATTAATTCATGATCATGTAGGCCAAATCTTGGACCCCAGCACAAAGCCAAAGCAAACAAGTGTTGTGCAGGAAAGCTTGGTGGGGGCGGGAGAGAAATGTTGATTATGTCTATGAGATGGACAGCTGTGCCTTCAAACCTCAGTCTGTTAGCTGCAGTAATAAGTTCTGTGTCCTCCTCTGAGGGGAGTCTGGCTAGTGGACTTGCATGATCATAGACTTTCCCCTACCATGTGTAATGAATCCTGGACCCTCAAATTAGGAACAAGATTTATCCTTTAGGGCTAAAACCCACCATGTGTTGTATAGATGAAGGGGGGAGGAAGGAGGAGTTAGTCAACAAGGCAAAGATATGCTCTTAGAACTTTCTTAAGCGCTAGTTCTGGAGCCTGACACACATGACTGGAGACATAATCAGGCTTCAGACCCCACTGTCATTAGGGAGCAATCAGAGTGAAAGTATGATATGGAGCTCATTCCACTAGAACCATCACGTCCAAGACCAGCAGTTGGGATCAGGGGAGTCTTCACTTGGCTACAGTCATTCCTCTACCAAGGTGTGAGTAAAGTTCTTTAAACTAGCTCTTCCCCTTTTTAAATAAGTGCATCCTTGCTCATGTGTCAGGTGTTAAGTTTCCTGATATACACATTCTAAAAAGGAAGTATTCTGATTTTACTTAACTCCAATGCATTCAATCACTCTAATTACCCAAGTCTGTGATATGAACAGACTAAGAAATGGTACTACAGACTCTTCTGTACTAGATCCTGAAGATACTCCTTCTGCCACTTCTAAATCTCTTTCTTGGACAAGTACAGGACAAGAGCAGTTGTTCTGAGTAATAAAATGAATGAATGAGGTTTGGAAGAAAAGAACTGATATGGGAATAATACAACAATGTGCTATTTTCATCAGTTACTTATCAACATGTTGGACTGATACAAGACAGGTATATTGTCCAACACTGTGAGAAATTTAGATTTAAAAAGGACTTTGTTCAATTTATGCTTTATTTTCCATTCAGTTTCTTTACCCATTCCAATATGACAGGGATATTACATATTGCAAAATTTTGCTACATTAATTCTTTGTCATCTTGGTTAAAAGAAAACAGATTCCAAATAATTAAAACCTCCCATTGACTATGTCATAATGTTTTTATTACAGTAATTAAAAACTGAATTTTGCTCCAATGGAAATAAAAATCACACTCATGTTTAAGTGCATGGAATAAAAACAAATTTGGATATTTCTAAAGAACAAATCACTTGAGACAAACTCAGCTTAGGGAATTTGTTTGAGGCTCTTCATTCAAACAAAGTAGGCAACATATATTCCAGTAAACAACAATACCCAGAAACATTTTTCCTTCAGCAGCACAGCAACACAGTACTAAATGTACGTTTTCTGCATGAAAAGAAAAACAAAGGTATTTGTATACAAAAAAATCAGTGTAATCTTTGGTACCAAATGTAAGGGCACCTTCTTATTAAGTACGTCCTCTCCAGTTGGCAAGTAACAGAAACTTTTCCTTAAGAATGGCTCAAAATTACCAATCTCATAGTGGTTCTGTTTAGCTGGTACTGACAACCGCAGTTAAAAAAAGCAATCTGGAGGTTTAGAGTTGTGCAACAGCAGGATACAACATAAATACTTTTTAAGTATTTGATTCCCCCCAATAAGAACTTATTTCTTCAAATACAACTCTTTGAAGATTTTATTTTTAATTGTTCCTATTGTCCTCATGGAATCCTTAAAGGATTCCAATACCCAAATGAATAAAACAGCAATCAGAAAAAACACCAACAAAACAATGAGGTTATAATACAAGGTCAAACAGTCCCCTGACTGAAGGCATTTACTTGCTCTATTTAATCTTACGGACATCACTTTCTCCACTAATTCCACCATGATTTCTGATGACAAAGGCTGTTTTATTTCCCCAAGGACAGATTCCATCTGTTGGGTCTCTCTTCTATAAACTGCTCAATTTTGTGGTGGCAAGTCAGCATTAAATGGACTATTTGCTTCTTCTTTAATTGACGATGAATGCATCATTGGATCTTGTAAACACTACTGATTATACATTCAAGCTTTGTTCTTAGTGAAAGTGGCACTTACTAGAACCCTTGCAGTCAAGATATCTTAGTTTTATAGCACTTTACAGGTATAATATCAGCTGGTCATGGACTTCAGGTAAGCTTCCTTTTCCCAATGGCTTAGTGGGTATTGAAATATATCCTCTGTTGGATCCCGTTGCCTTTTCACAACATCTTTATGATGAAGTGACTATTCTGTACTTTATATTGTACTTTACATGTGCTTTATTGCTGTACACATTTCCCTGTTGTTAATTTCAGTGCTCCTTGGTTATGTAACATATGTAAAGTTTTAAACTCTAATGGCATCCTATGAGGGCTGGCATTAGAAAAGTATCGATATTTTAGATCATCGTAGTAATGATATTTGACTGGTTTTCCATAGAAATCCTTTGGGAATGGCCAGAACCCATACAGGTGAATTTCATCACAAAATCTGGTAGTGAGCGTGTACATGAGGAGACCAGTGCTGGGTCGTTTGATGTGGACCTTGTTTGTCAGCCAGTAACTACAAAGCAAACAAGAAAAAGACAAGTCATGAAATGTACATACAACTCCTTGTAAACAAAACTTGTGAAATACACTTAGTTTATCTTCATTATATACATTATTTTTCTTTCATGCATGTTTTTATGGGCTTCATTCATTTCCTTGGAATGGATATATACAGATTAGCTGGTTTCTTCTCCTTTAGGGCAAGATGGTGAGCAGTTACTTGCAAAAGTAGTTCCATTAATTTTCAGTGGTATGACCTGTGTAGGTAACTGCTCACTTGTGTCAGAAAGGAGTTCACAAGTTTTTAAAGGGGTTAACTTTCTTTTTGGAGGAGGAAGTTGAAGCCTTGACCAACACAAGGTATTGCTCCTGAATTGAAGCTTTACATTGGCTCAGTTGTATACTAGGAGTTAGGAATTCCAAGACAAAATGCAGTAACCACTTGAGTTCTGGAACTGCCAGCTCCAAAAGCTATAAAAGGAGATTTCATTCATTTTGAAAAGACACTCTTTTTACATTATTTCATAGACATTAGATGAGGGGAAGACCTAGAATACCAGTTTACCTAGGTGATGGGGACTGCTACCCTCAGGGGCATTGTTAACAGGTCCAGAGGGTAACAACTACACCCTCTTTCTTAATGGGACAGGGCCTTAAGTTTTTTTTCTGTTGTGAGATGGGTCATGGTATGGAAAAGTTTGGGAACCACTGATTCAAGATTAGCACCTACTAATCAGGATCATTCGCTATAGTTAAACACTAAGATAGGAGGAAGTATCTGTGCCAAACAAATGTCTAAATAGTTCACTTTGACTATGAAATAGTTCAAATCTTTGGGCCAAAGTCTTTTAGACTATTCTTCAAAAATATGCATGTAGCTGTTCTAATTATCAGGTAACTGCATACGCAAAACGGGCCATGTAGACATATAGCTGATCATTTGTACTTAGAATGATCCAGTTTAATAAATAAATATCTCATTAGCCAATTTAAAACACACAAATATGCAAATTAATTGCTTGTGCAAAAGTAGATGCAGTTATAAACATTTTTGTGTAATGACCTTTAGCTTCACTTAAGAAAACACATGAAGGCAAAACTGTATTTTTGTAAAATCTGATTCATTGTTTCATTGAAAAATAAAGGACATTTTTATTAAAGTAATCTGACCCTTTAACTCATTTGCATGTTTATTACAAATTTGAGACTATTCCTTTTCCCCATCACAAGGATTGCAACTTTTTTATAAATTTACCATTAAAATGAACTACCTCTATCCTTGATCGATATCTTTATACTTACTAACAAAACCCTCATAAATCTGAACATGCTTTTGCAGACTTGATAGACAAATCTGTGTGCGAAATCAAGATGTTACCAAAAGGTGATGTATCTAATTTTTAATCTAAAATACTGAGCAGTGTTGTAGTTATACTGTTTCTTTGGTTTTCAGCAAGCTCTCCTTCCAAACGCAACAATGACAAACATACATCTTGGCAGGCTTAGTTCTGGATGTCATTAATCACAGGTTTCTCAGGTTTTTTTAAGCATATGTTGGCAATGAGATAGAGCCTCTCAACTGCAAAAGTTGATGCAAAGAGTGACAGACAGAGAAAGAAACACAAGAATGTGAAGAATCAGCTAAATTTAGGCTTTTTTTCTTGCGTGCCAAAAAGAAATCCTGACTGATGACACTCCACTGGAAGACCATTCACATCTGTTTTCTGGTACATTTTGAATAAACTGAGGGAACTGTATTCTGGGAGGAGGCACTGAGTTGAACCATGTTTTGACAGAATTTTATTTTCTTGGTTCTATTCAGGTTTGCCAAAGTCTGTTTTTAAGAGATGGATGTGCCAGCATTTCACAGGTTTATGAAAAAGGAAACACTTTTGTTAGGGCCAATGGAACTAATCCACATAACATTAAGATAGAGCTACAGCTACACTGACAATGACTCATTAGGTCAACTTAGAAGAAAATAAGCTATATTAATTTTTATATTAACACCAGGTTAAAGAGAGGCCAGGCACATGAGTTTGAGTTCCAAATTCTAACAAGCTCTCAAGGCAAGCAGGTGCTGAAAAAAATTGCAGATAACCTGCTCCGTCCATTGAACAATGAAGACAGCATGTTATTCTCTAATGATAAACCTTTACCTCCACACTAGCTTGCCATTCTACTACCCAAGCAGACCTGCCTCACACTGAACCTTTGACAAGCACAGAGGCTCTTTCACATATCATTCTTGCCTAAAAAACAAGTGAATGAAAATATGAAGTGCAAGGCATAACGGTACTGTACAGCTCTCATAACTGCAGACCAAGAGTTACATTTTGTCTTGCTCATATATATTTACTTAAAAGTTTCCCCATCTGTAAAACTGGGATAATGACATTTACCCTCCTTTGCAAAACATGTGGAGATCTCTGGATGAAAAGTGCTAAACAAGAGCTAAGTTTTATTATTAATTGAAACAAACAAAAGTGGTCTGATTTTTATGCAGAATATCCATACATTCCACTGAAGTTAATGGGATTATGTTTGCTTGCTCCACTGAAAATCAGGTCACTTTTACATAGGTACCTAAATATGGATTTTAGGAACCAGCGGGCATTTTCAAAGACACAAATGGAAGTTGGGTGGAGTGCATGGAAAGTCAAAGGGAGTTAGGCATCTAACTGAAAATCTTCACCGTCTTCCTATCTTTAGGCACCTAGTTCTGAAAAATATGGCCATATTCATTAAATAAGGTTTTGGCGTATTAGTGGCTTGGTAAGGACTGGTCTCATTCTTGCTCAAACACTTAGTTAAGGTTTGTCGAGCACTCTGAAGAGGTAAAGGGCACTCTGTAAGGGTTAAATATTATTACTGTTTGGAGCAGGGGTTCTCACAACACATTTTTTGGTTGTCTCAGAGTGTGGCCACAAGCTCTTGCCATGCTGATACTTTTCTCTAAAACACTTAATTAACTTTAGGAAAAAAACAAATACATATGCTTATACACGTATCCAAATAATTGTAATTTATTTATGTATGTTTTTTTTGCAGACTCAATAGTAAAAATAATACTTGTATGGTCGTTAATATCACTTTTCACAGCACACTTAGTAGCCAGCTAAGAGGCTGTGATAAGTGATACTAACAAACATACAAGTATCACTTATCACAGCCTCCCAGCTAGCTAGTAAGTCTGCTGTGAAAAGTGCTACTTGTATGTTTGTTAATATTACTTTTCTCAGCAAGCTCCAGGACAAATTAAGCCTTGGGGGGGCACAGGAGGAGGCAGCGGGGCCAGGGGCAATGAATGTGGGGCCAGGGAAGGCAGTGGGGCCCAGGGCGATGGGGGTGAGCCTGCATGGCCGGAGCCGGGGGTCAGCGCACGTACTGTGTGGTCAGAGCTGGGAGCTGCACAGCTGAAGTCTGGGGTCAGAGCCCGCTGCTGCGCAGATGGGACCGGGGGTCAGCATTGTGCTCCATGCACTGCCCTCCAGAGGTGATGCAGGGCAGTGCATGCAGGAGCAACTGTGAGGGAGGGGGAAAGGTCGATAAGTGCCCCCCACATGCCCCATCACCACCCAGGAGGTTTTCGTGACTGCATGAAAAGCCCCTAGTGGCTGCATTTGAGAAATGCTGGTTTGGAGTGCATACTTATGGTTGTGTGGTTGGTTTCTTTTTTAAGATACATAGATTATATTAATTTAGAGCAACATTGGGACCTCGTGTGAATACATGTGTTTACAGACATGAGTAAGAGTAGCAAAATTTAGCCTTTAATATCAAAAGTGTCTTAAAAGCATCAGAAGCTCCAAAATCCTAAAAATATTCATTCTGTTAAAATTGACCTTTTCAGACTTGCAGTCTGAGTCTCTGAAGTGGCTGTGGCTTGGACGGTGGTTCTTTCATCTCAGAAAAAATTGGCCTTTGTTTAAAAGGAAAAAGAACCTTCCCTCCTCCTCCCCCTCCCCATTCCGCTCCCCCACCCCCATCATTCCTGTTGCACTCACACAGTTTTAAAAAGCTGACAGGTTCTGTGAGCTGAAAGCAGCTCCAGGCTGAGTCATGGACACTTTAAAGACAGCAGAGAAAGACTCAGGAATCTGTTTAGTTTAAAAGGCGTATGAATGAAAGCAAATTAAGAAAGCGAATATTATGGTATGTGGTTATGATAATTGCAGAGTACTATGTGTTATTCTGAATGTTTTCATTAACCTGCATTTTTAGGCAGGAGAGACCTCTGAGATGTTCCCTCTGTTGATCCAGCATTTTACAACTGGTACGATTTTTATTGTCGTGTTTTGTTTTAACAAATGCTAGGCTCCCTGAGCTGAAAACAACTTCAGACTGAGCAATAGTCAGTTCAAGACCTTCAAGCCACAGATACAGATACCTGCTCAACATAGGCTGAAGCTGAACCCAGGGATCTAGTTTCAGCAGAAACAGGTGTTGCAGGGCTATGCAGAATTGGTGTGGCAGGCTCCCCACATGCAGGAGGTTGCAGAGTTAAGCTGCTTACTTACTACACTGCTGCCTTTCCCTCAGAAGCCCAACCAGGTGCTTCCATTTGTTTTTTTTTGTTGGGAACCTTCCATGGCCTCCTCTTACCCTGGGTGAATTTCACTCATGTAAGAATTAGGGTTGCCAACTTTCTAATTGTACAAAACCAACACCCTTGCCCCGCCCCTTCCATGAGGACCTGCCTCCACCCCACCCCTTTTCTGAGGCCCCACCACCCATTCACTCCAGTCCCTCTCCCTCCTCGCTCTCCCCAACCCTCATTCACTTTCACTGGGCTGGGGCAGGGGGTTGGGGTGCGGGAGGGTGTGAGAGCTCCAGTGGGGGGTGCTGCCTGTGGGGTGGGCCCAGAAATGAGGGGTTGAGGGTGCAGGAGGGGGCTCTGGGATGGGGTAGGGACACGGGGGAGGGGAGTGATTGGAGCCACCAGGGTCCCTTTTCAACCGGGCATTCCGGTCAAAAAACGGATGCCTGGGGACCCTAGTAAGAATGGCAGAG